GTTGCAATGGTGAAAAACATGGGACGGTTTTTTATTGTGTTCTGTCAATCTGATAGTTTGAATTTCGGGCAAAGCTACACGAGGGCTATTTGCGCTAGGCGTCCCTAATTTAGTAGTGATAGACTAGAGGGAAGGCAACTGGTCAACACCACCCATCGCCAACTCTTGGGCTACTCTTTTACCAACGGATAGTGGGATTGAACGTCACATTATAACACCTCCACGGCTGAAAAAGTGAGCATATTCGGTGTTACGGGGATTCGAACCCACAACCCTCAGAACTTTGTCTTGTCGAAATTATTTTAAATTAATGTTACATGAAATTATTACAAAATTAGTACTCAAGTAATGCCTGTAAGTTTCTTCAATGGTAATATTTAATGTGACCACCTTCGCATCAATAACAACTTGACATCTTTGTGCCATTGTGTATATGTTCTTTTTCAAAGTTTCTGGTGTAATCTGATTCCATTTTTCTTCAATTTGTGTCCAGCGACTTTCTTTAGTACAGTTGGTACTTTTGTTAAGCAAGTCACAGGTTTGTTTTATAGAGTTCAAGTCTGGAGTTGTAGCGATCATTACATTCCCTAGAGATCCCGCGAGATTTCTTTTCTTTTGGCAAAATAGGCTCAACATTTCTTGGAAGTATATTCGGAGTCATATTCTTCTAGAAACACGAAATTCTATTCTGTCAGCTTCTTTTTACTTGGTAAACCATCATGGACTAATATATTGTGGAATATATACTGATCCATGATCCCCTCATTTTTGTGATAACCAGCATCATTAGCAGATATTGTACCCTAAAACACAAAAGAACCTGCACACTTGATTGTTGATACAAGACATTCCTTCAACACCTCTCTTTGATTCTTCGGCGAACAACAATTAATAGTTATACTCGTTTCTCAAAGAACAATGTGCCAAACTGAAGTTTTTTTTTTATAAAAGTTTGTCTCTTCATTTTACTGTTTTTGCACAGTAAGGGCTTTCTTGCCGTTACTCTTCCCCAAGGGCCACGTTTCTATAGTGTTTTTGAAACCGCACTTCTTGATAATTTATTTGTGCTTAATTTTTTACTATCTCTAGTGAGGTTTTTAGTAGTTTTGCTATGGAATTGATTTTAAATTATTTAACGTCTGTTTTACTTAGCTTTTTTCCCTTTCCTCTGCTTGTCTGTTGGTATAGAACTGGGAGTTATTGTATGTGTTCGATATTTACCTCACAGTACTTTTCTTAAACTTCGATCAGTATCATGTAAAGATTTGTCTATGACTCTGTCAAAGTATTATTTATTTCTGTTTTGGAATTTTAATGGCAGCAAAACACTATATTAGCTGTACTGGACGTTGTTTCTGAAAGAAAACAAAATCATCCTTTATTTCCCTGAAAGGGAACCAAAAACCACCTGGAGAGGTAACCTATCTTAATCAATCGCACCACAATACAGTAGTGTCTTATCTGTCAATGAGTCAGTAGATTCTCAAATAACGTCATGTAAGGGACGCTTAACGTTGCAGTTTGTACTGTCGTGACGTGAATAAAATGTGCACATTCCATGAATCACAAGAAGAATTACGCTCTCTGTTAGCTGCAACACAGCATGACATGTGAACTTCAAAAGCAAACAATAAAAAATTGTGTTACTGTTAACTTTGGTTTTATTTACTTTTGAAACAGAACACTTTCGGAGACCCTGCGGAAGTACATGCACATATATGTGTGAATGAAAAATTCAAAATGTGAACATCTTAAAATTTGGTCATGATGACTGGTATATAAACTAAATACAATCACGTGTGATAATGTTGCACCTCTCTGTGTTTACATTAGACATATCGGACAACTTTCAAGAAATCTACCGCATATAATCATTTGTAGCTATGTGTGGTTTCCTTTTGAAATTTTAAATCAATTAAATCGGTAGCATATTAAAGTCACGGATAAAGTGAGAAAATCAATAGCTTGTCTAATTTGATGTTTTTACAACATTTTAACCAATTATAGTTTTATTTAATAAATACAACATATTGATACTACAGGAACATCGGAGTGTCTTACTGTATGTATACTTAGTTATTTGCACACATGTTTAAATTTAGCATTTTACAAGTTTTCCATCTGATACATTACCCAATGTTTGTTTTAGAAATTTTGTGAGTAAGACTACACATAGATGTCCCTAATTTTGAAATGATACGTCAAAGTGGAGGCAGATAGTCAACATCACCCACCGCCAACTTTCGAGTGACTTTTTTTTTCTGACACAAGCGTGGGAGTTGATCGTCGATTTTAACGTAATTCCAGCAACACGATCGAAGCTTTACTCACAGGATTTTAATCGATTTTAACGTAATTCCAGCAACACGATCGAAGCTTTACTCACAGGATTTTAATATTTTGCTTTTATCAGTACCGTAACCAGAAAATAAAAAAAAATCAGTAGAGGAGGGTAATCCGAGAAAAAAAACTGTTGAAAGCACAAAACGAAGCTTGAAAACAATTATATCGTTAGTTCCCTTCTGTCTTGGTTATATAACGACGAAAATGACATTAGTGAAACAGAACTTATATTGTTTTCCCTATTGAGATTTGTTCGTTAATTTCAATTCAACAATGACAGTTTAAAAACATGATTTTAAAAAAAATATTACATGTTTATTACATTTTAGTTTACCATTTATTGATCAAAGTAACATGATGTGCAGTGGAATGTTTTATCTTTTTATTAGGCTAAAATACTAACAGTACTGTGTGTTTTTCTATAATTGTATTGAGTTATTACTTACTAATCGTAAACAAATATAAATGTCCAAGTGGATTCTCAATCAATCCGTTATCAGGGAAGGCAACAAGTGCTGAAAAATCAATTAAAAAAAACAAAAACAACTTGCAATCGACGATTAGCATTAAGTGTTCACGCCACAATTCCCAGTAGATTTTCTGTAACAATTAACTTTGTTTACTTGAGAGCCAAAGTTGGGCATGTATATATATACATAAATATATAGTATGGTTATGACAACAACGAAAAGCAGTCCCGACGGCAACATATGCGGTATGAGGATCGAAACCTGAACTGATATAGAATAAGCTCTTAATCTTAGTGTTGAACCATCATATAAGTGTGTGTATGTGTGTGTGGGGGGGAGGGGGGGAGTGAAACCCATTATAGAAATGTTACTCATGAGCTGGTCTTAACCAAGTGATTTGCGTGTTGGGCTGCGTATTGCAAGGTCTGGCGTTCGAGATGTGGTTCTTTTGTTCCGCTTCGTACTTTAACTCTAGGCACGTTATAAAATCGAAAACCAGCCCTGCTATTCGACTCAAAGAACTGGACAAAACATTGTAGCTTCGGATACTGCTGGCTGGCTACTTCCCCGCTGGCCTGTTGTTCAAAATTAGGGACGGCTTTTACTTCAATCTTATTCCAAAGAATATGTCCGCCGGTGAGTCATTGATAAGTTTATGCACTTACAGCGCGAAAATCAGGGGTTCGATTCTCTGCAGTGAACAGGGCACAAATAGTCTATTGTGCTGCTTCACGCTAAAAAACAATCACATCGTAGAACATATAAAAATAAAAAAGTTTAAATTATTACACATTTTTATTGAAACACAGCACTCAGCAAAGAATAAAGGTTACATTCTTCATTGTAATTAAAACCCGGGTTTCGATACCCGTAGTGGGTACAGCACAGATAGCCCATTGTGTAGCTTTTGTGCTTAACCGCAAACAAACACATTGATTTTAATAGGAGCTTAAGTTTAAAACATTCGTAAAACTTATACGTACCTTGTATTGTTTGTAACTGATAATGACACTATTTATTGTTCAAATGGATTAGATTTACGATCACGCTGACCATTGTAAAATTTTAAGGAATTAGCGTTCGTCTGTATACATACATGTATACATGTTCATTTACAATTTAACTTCTAACATACAGAAGAAAATGTAAAACTAAATGTTTGATAGTTACAATTTAGACGTCAAAATCTTGCGAAACATTGGAAATAAAAGAATAGGCCCAAAATTTGAAAACGAGGGAAAAATAAACTGGAGCCAACGTGAATTTATTAAAAATTTTTGATTTAAATATTTTAGTAGCTTACTTCAAATAGTTTACTTTCCCCAACAAATATTTACCATTTGTCTTTAACTTTAATGTAGGAGTACATTGGCCCGCAATCAGTTTTCGATTTTATCAGATTTCTTCCGCGAGCACAAGAAACTCATTCCTTTTTTTACGTCACAGGCACCTTCTCAGTTATTGGCTGAGAGTTGGTCGCTAGACGAAGCGGAGCGTACCAGACTCGGGCACTTTGTTCGCGTATGGGCAGGACAAGTGCAAGTCCAATTTAGAAGTTATACAGAAGTAAGTCCATCATTGAAAGCTTTCAGAGATATTCAAGTCTGTTGATTCTTTGTGTGTTTTCTAATAGTTGAACTTCTTTGCTATTACAAGTATATGAGACGGAACAGATATGCATATATATATTCGTTTATTTAAAGGCAATCTCAACTTGTAAGTTGCGGAAGGATACACGTCTTGATTCCAGTGAATCTAAGCGCCGTACGTTAAGTTTAAGAAAATAGACACTGAGGTGCTTAGAGGAAAACGGAACTGTAAGATATGGTGTACAATCGGTAATTTATTTGTGTGTGTACGATAACGGATTTTACCTCTTTATGATACAGTGGATATATTAATTCGTTTATGAATGAAGAATAAACGGAATTATTAACTTTGTGAACACGTTAGTATACAGAGAATGCGGTGCCGAAATTCGGTCTGGATTCTGACTTTCGTCCTCTTGGCTACTTTCGGGCCCGCCTTCGTCAGAGGTAAGGGTAACACATTCGGCTTTGGTCTGTAGCGTATGTTTAACTTGTAAACCTAATGACATGTTTAGTTTAGGGCTATGGTACTGTAGCGAAAAGTTAGACTTACTAACTGCTGTTCTTTTCAAGTGTGTAAGATTAGCTAAGTAAAATACTGTAAAATTAAAGCTTCCAGTTTGAGTAGTTATACTTAGTTATAGCAAGGAAAGGACGGAGAAAAATAATAGTATTAATGCTATTTACTTAGATTATCAAGGTAGACGGATGAAAGTGATATTATTATTAATTGTTGATATAATTTACTTATGATAGAATAGATCATAATTAAGAATTAATCCAGATGATGAGTTATAAATTTTAAAATTTAAGTGACAACATTTTCCTTTGCCGGTTGTGACCTGTGACTTGTAAGTGCTATGGCGATTAATAATAATATTCAGAACTTGACTCAAATATTGTTAACAGTATTACTGGTATTGGTACTACATTGTTAGTGGAATTTTTCACATTTTTTCAACACTAGAATAAATAATGAATAATATGTATATATATATGTGTATATATATATATATATATATGTGTGTGTATGTGTGTGTGTGTGTGTGTATTGAAAACAAGAGAATATGAAAAAACTACTACAAAAATATGGTGAACGACAAATCGATGTTTTAATGTTCACAACGTCTTGGGACCTTCTTTCTCTGGTAATTTTAAACTTTGATGTAATTATGCAGAAAAGTCAATTTAAGTTTAAAATGAATATATCTTAGGCCTAATTATGGTTTCAACTCGTCAGGCTACTCTGGATCTTTGTTAAAATGTTTTATTCGTGTTTTGTCTATTTCTGTAATCATAAATGAACCAAGACTTTGTAATAGTAAATTCAAATAGGCTTTATAATACATTATATTGTTTAAAAATATAAAACTAAGTTTATTTAATTATTGTGTGATTGCCATTAGTAGGACTGAGCTTGAAGTATTAATCGTTGAAAATCAGTTTGACTTAGAGGATTATTAAAATTCAATCTTATTTTATCGTAGAGTATTTCCACAGTTGTACTTAAGAAATTGATAGTATATTTTCCTGGTAGGATAGACCTTGGAAACATTTTTGTGTGTGTTAAATTCAGGTTGTATAGACTTGCATGTTTATTGAGATCAGCATTTTTGTAGCACGCGTATTTATTTGTTTGGATGTTAAGTCCAAGAGGAGGCGAGTATGGGCTACATGGAACCCCCGTTTGGCGTGTATATGTTATGACACTTGGCTGTATTACGTTCCCACGGTCTGTTCTGCACTGTGATTGGTCTGTGGAAATAGTTTTTCTAACTTGTCGACCATGAGTTCTACATATTAGGTTTATTGCTATATATTACAAACTAGTATTTTAAATAACTTTTCAACGTGATTTTGTAGCCTCATCTAACCTCCTAATTTTTCTTCACACATGGTTTTGTGAAACTCCAGTTTTTATTATTATTTTCAGTATATATGTTGAACTGGAGTTGCTCGACGTGCCTCTGTCATTTAATAATTACCCTATGTTTAATTTTATATTTAAGGTATACTGAATTTTTGTCGAAATAATTTATTACAACCATGAAGTTTATACATGTATTTCATTTTTAACTTGCGTTTACATAAGGAATTTGAAATATTTTATTCTTCATTATGAAATATTGTGTGCAACAAATAAACAAAATATTCGTTTCGTTGATAGTTAGTTAAATTAAAATATTAACGTATTTTTATTGATATCTTTATATTCACAAGTAGTAATCGGTCAATAACGTGATCTATGGCGCTATGGATTGACCCCTTCATTAACAGGACACTTTGTGGAGGATGTTGGCACGTGGGAGTGCCCCTCACGTCCGGCGTCTGGAGACTGCAGCTGTCAACATTACAAACTACCCCTTGATGTGTTGGCTAGTTGTAAAAAACATAACGCGGTCATTCAGTTTTGCAGATAATAAGGAAATACACTGTAGTTAGAATGGATGTCAAGCGTCTCCGTTTTTAATGTAATAAATTACGAATAACAGGGGGAGTGGCCGTATCTCATCATATTTAGTATACAGCCTATTTAATAAAACGAGAAACAAAATCTGATGCTCACGTGGGAACTGAAACTTCTTTGGTAGAGAATTAGTTTAAAAACTAAATCTCGTTGAATTTGATCTCCGACCTCAGATTTTATTTTTAGTGTTTTTTGTTCAGAATGCGGACTTTTTTCACTTATTTTCAGTTATTCATTGTTTACACCAAAATGTAGTAGGTTAGGTTGGGGATAATTTCGAATAATTTCACACTATGGCCAATTAAACGCTTCTGAAATAAAATAAATGTAATGGTGGACATAGTTGGGTAATACCAGAAATCGAAGAATATTTAAATTTTTTCCCATCATATATCCATATTTATGTCAGGAAATTCTTACGTAAAGGCTTACTCGAGTTCGAGTACTGTTAACTTCCTGGGTAAAAAAATATGTCGATAAAACAGTTGAAAATATAATGTTTAATGACTGTTTATTAAGTTTCGTTAAAAGCTGCCCTGTTTCCTTTGCATTTGTAGGTTACAGTTCTTTTAATCTGGTTTAAAACGAAAACAACATCATCAAACAAATAGCATAAAAAAAAAGAGAAAAATGGAAGTTGAAAAACCAGCGAATTGGAAGTTCCTTATGTGATGACCTTGTAGGTTACATATAGAATACATGCATGTACAGTGTCATTTAAAATCACTTTTTATTTCATACTTTACTTCTTTAGTACGACTATCGATATGACTCGCTGCGTTTTTTTTTAGAAGTTCTGATTGTAATAACAAACATTTTTCTGTATGAAAGTAACATTTTTGACGTATAAGATGGTTGTGTTACTGTTGTAATTTTGAACGTTATATTACAGTATGAACTCCAGGAAGTGTATTGAATTTGATGTGTATTGTTCTTACGACAAGTAATAGTTAAGGTAAGAGAGCTCAGTCTAATTGTAAGACATGACAAACGTATGAGAATTTCCGAACTAGGCTTAATTGGACGTCACAAGATATACAATTGGCACTGTAAATTGTAATTACTTGTAACGTCCAATTAAGCCTAGTTCTGTAATGTTCATGCGTTTGACATACCTTACAATTATATTGACCTCTTTTACCTTCTTATTAAAAGAACAGTACAGATTGATTTTTAGTGTTTGTTAACCTAAAAACGATTAAAATGTTTAAGAGTGGTAAAGGTTATTCCATTCAATACACGTTTTTAACTAAAACCAGAGTTCTTGACTGATCATTTACTTGGAGTTAAAAAAGCTACCAATAATTGTCTTAGAGCTCAGTTCTCTAAGATTACTGCTACCCTTAGTTCAACACAAAAAATTTCTTTTGCCTTACAATTAATTCTTTTCTCAAAGTATGGCTTTCTTTGCTTGTCTTCCTTTTATATTTATTGATTTGAGGAATGAGCTGAAGAGAGATTCACACATCATGTTTTTGTTTTCATCCAAGTTCCTGCCACGAAAGAAGAATTATTATTATTTACTTTGAAGATTTTGATGTTTATTAAACTTTTCTTTTGTCATTGCACATGTTAATTTTTTTCAATCCATTCTGAGTGAGTTCAGCAAGGATATTCTTAGTCGGATAATACAGGCCTGCGATGGTTTTATTGTCTTGACATTTTACATGTTATTCAGTAATTCCTGTACGCTGAATCCGAAAATGATACCCATTTTTCTCCATCATGTACAGATTTTACACAAAACGTCATATGTTCTTTTTTATAAGTGAATCATTTTCAGTGAAATAGGGTTGCATTTTATTATGCTTAAAATGGTGACAACCGCTGCTATAGATTTCTCTAGACCAATCGCGATGTGAGGGTCTTATCGATCGTTCTAGAACCCACGAGAAATACTGCTAGTATATAAATGGTTAATAGGCCGCATGATGTGTCATTTCTGGATAGTATTTGTTTGTGCGTGCACTTTATAACACTCGAAATAAAAAGGAAATTTCTTATCCGAAGCCCCCAGTGGCACAGCGGTATGTCTGCGGACTTACAACGCTAGAAACCGGGTTTCGATACCCGTGGTGGGCAGAGCACAGATAGCCCTTGTGTAGCTTTGTGCATAATTACAAACAAACAAACAATCTTATCCGAAACTTCAATCTGCTATAAGACC